GACCGAGGGGAGGACGGGAAGGGGAGGGGGCTGGGAGGAGGTCTCTCCGAACACACTTGTTAGACACATCTGGCAAAAAGAAAATGTATAGTGCAAAAATAAATTTCTTCAAGCAATTGTTAAGAGGATAACAGAGACTAGAAAGCAAAGTGGTGGTGGCTGGGGAGTTGTGTGGCAGGAATGGGGAGAGGGTGATGAGAGAGGAAGGGGGACAAGGTGATGAGAGAGGAAGGGTTTTGGTGGGGGTGGGGATTTACAGAAAGAAAGGGGAGGCTGCAAAAACATTAAACATTTATTTTTGCCTCTGTGTTAGCAAGGAGATCTTGGCCATAATAGGTGTATTTTTCCTCCCTGGAATGAAGCAGAAGTGAAAGATAAGGAAATTAAACCAAGTCTGGGTTTAGATAGGAAATGCATGCTGGAAAAGAAAACTAAAATAAAAAGGTTGAGAACCAGCCAATGAGCCCCAAAGCCTTTCAGGGCCTAGATTTGCAGAAATCATTCTGCCTCCAGTCCCAAGGCCTAGGATTAAAATGTCCCCTCTCCCCACCCTCCGCCCCTCCCCTCCATGTGGAGCTCCCAGTGTGGTTTCAATATACTGGCATTATAAGCATCCATCCCCCCCAAAAGATATTAGGCACTGGTGGCTACTCCTCTTAAACGTCAGTAGCCTGTTTTCCTTCTGCGAAGGTACAATAGGTACATCTGCCCACGTGTCTAGGCGTGGGCACACATACCACCCTCATTATTCTGACGTGGGGTCCATTTTATGGCAGTAGACAGAAGCTGGAGTCAAAGCAATTTACGATTCCAAAGCTTACAGTTGAAAAAAATTGTATAAACAGTCCCCAACAAAGAACGTATCACCCTTCCCTCGTGACCGCTGAGAGGGAGCCCTGTTTGAAAAGAGTATCTGGTTTGGGATATTAGTGAAGTGACGGACGGCCTAGGATTTCGCTCTGCCATTTTTGATACCTGTTTCCCGAGGACTTACAAACGCAAATGCAAAACACCTGAAGAATACAGTACTCTATTGGAAGGGCGCGCAGAAGAAAGTGAATTGCAGCTTTATTTTTCCCCCTTTTCCAGGATCTATGAGGAACCAGCCAAGGGGATTTAAGAGTGTTAAAAGCAAGAGAAAACCCTGAAGCCTCAGGCCATTAGTCACAGGATCTCACACTGACCAGCAGTTTTTGTTTCCTTGGACACATTTTTGTTGTTCCATCTCACGTATTCCCAAGGATCCTCACTGAGGAAAGTAGGCCGTCAAAGAGGCATCAATGTATGCTCAGGCCAGCCCCTCTCGTTTCCAAACTGAGATCTCACCATGTTTACCGAAATGCAACCCAGACCTGGAATTCGAACTCTCTCCTCCTGCCCCCACCCCACGCTTGGCAGGTGGCCACCTCCGGAAGAGGCCAGGGAAAGTTTCCACAAGTACATTTCAAACAGGTTCTACTTAGTGAATTTTCACTTTGGCAAAGATCCGGGTGCAAAATTATGGCCAGAAATGCCGGCCCTCGTAAGATCTTTGAAAAAGAAAGAAACAATGAACCTGATTTTTGCAGTTAAATACGTTGCATCTCTCTGACTTTCCCTACATTCTTCCTTATCCTAAAACCAACTCATGCAAAAGAGAAGACAAAAGCACTTTGCACTGGATTTTTTATCTTACGGAGCGACTTCCATCGAGGAAATCATTCTGAACCAATGAAACCGATCACTAGATGTTGCCGTTCTTGCCGGTGGAGTTCATTTCTTTTGACTTTGCCATCGAATTCAGGCATGGGGGGGGGTGGCTATGGGCGGAATATTCTGAATGCACTAGGTGAGTTGCCCTGAAAGTCCCATTTAGTTCCCCTTTGATGCAAATAGACATGGCTACTCTGGAAGCTTATCCCCAACTAAAGTCCTTAAAAAATCTTCTCTGGCTTCTAGATTCAAAGAAGATTTTTTTAAAAATAGGAATCAGTTCTGCTAATCGTGCGTGAGGTTGGCTGTCTTTTTTACCCTGTTATAATCAGGCAATCTAAGATGTAAAAAGGGCACAAGAGGTGCAGGAGGGGAGGAGATGGGGGGTTTGAAGGGCTTTGCAAGGGAAAGCACATAGAGAGGAGAAGGAGATGGGCAGCATGAAGTTCATTTTGGGGTTTCCGATATTTTTATAAAATGCAGCTTTGTCATGGAATCTGAACATTTCTTTTTCTGGACACAGTACTCATCACCACCAGGCTTTAAGCTGGGCCAATTAACCATCAGTGGGGCAGGAGGCCAGTAGCTAGGAGAAGCATTATAATTTCATGTTTCCACATCTTTGACTTACAGCCATGTGGTAGGAGAAAGAAGCACAACTTGAAATAAAGAAAATTGTCAATGGCTTAGAAACACGCTTTCTCTATACATCAAACTCGGAACCCTGGATCAGATGTGCTTGAGGGGACAACCACAAGAAACACCATGCCAGGTTCTTCCTTCCAAATTTGGGATCCCCGGGAATGTCAGGAGGTAAATGAGAAAGCAACGGTTTAATGTGTCTCAAATGTCCAGTAAAGCACTGTTTTAAATAACCTGTCCTCCTGGGAGCCAAGTATCTTCAGACGGTGATTTCTTGGAGAGCCTGTTCACTCTCCGCATACTCTTACCAACCATCTCTGCCATTTCAGAGATGATGGACATGTTCTCACAAATCCACTTCCAAAATGACTGGTGCTACCCTAGCTTTTAGGGATAGGTTATCATTCGCAGGTGTCACTCAGGCTAGAGAAGAACAGTTTCAAAGCCATACACTTAGCACCCACCAAATTTCAGGCCAATTCTCCCAGTCCACAAATGACTCGGAAGCAAGCAAGCCCCACCATCGTGGTTCAGCGCACCCTGCTCTGAGAAAGGTCAGGAACACAGTACAAAGGACCTCACTGATACAAAAGAGAGAGGAATCACTGAACATTTCAGACACTAATGAGGACCAAAGGGCCTTTGTTCCGCCACATTCAAATGAGAACTTTTCAAGACCACAGATGACAACAGGGAGCAAACAAGCAATGATTACTCTTTTGCATTCTTTTTTTTTTAAAACTTTCTTTTTAATAGAGCCTTGCATTGGTCAGTTCAAAACTTAAATTCAGTATTATAAACCCTTAATAATAGCATTTCGAGAGGCAAGAGCAGCTCCAGCTGGGGAGAGAACATTTGTAAATGGTGGCAGCCACGGCTATAATGCCATCACGGGTATGTGCGTGCATTCATGCTGGAGGCTGCTATAGAAAGGGAAATCAACGAACCAACAAAATCTGGGGTGTCTAAAGTTTCATCTAGTGCACTGACTGGAGGCGCTACAGTTGAATACAGCTGAGGTTTAAGGTCCCTCACACATCCTTCACCCAGAAAGGATGCACCACACATTCAAATATAATCCCATGATACGCCCTGATGGACTGGCCCCGAAATGCACTCAAATGCAGTAGAGAACTATGAGATTGTCAGCAAGCAGTGCTCCAGAAAATGTTTCTAAGTCATGTCTAGTTTTAAATCTTTGGAATAAAACTGATTTTTTTTTTTTAAAATACCCTCCAACTAACATATACAGAATTGCCTCCGGCAAATGGGCAGATTTTTAGGTGTATGTGTTTTAGGGTGGTTTTTCTTTTTGTTTTTGTTTGCTGTTGTTGTTGCTGTTGTTGGTTTTTGTTCTTGTTGTTGCTGTTGTTGTTGTTGTTGTTGCTGTTGTTTTGGTTTTTGGTCTACCTTGCAAAAGGGGAAAAGAGAAAGAAAACTTTAAGGGCCAGATCTCAGAATGCCCAGGTGTCCCATCGGTAAGCTACCGCATTTGTGATCAGGAGGCTCCTTTACCCTTTGATGGGCACTTCTCAACATTTCAGGGAAATCAAAGGTTGCAGAAAGCTGAGAAACCAAATGCCAAGGATCTTGAAGGTTGCTGTCATACATGTATTTGTGTTTCTTATATTATTATTTCCTTTTAAAGACTTCAGTTTTGCATCCCAAATAGGTATGGGGCGGCATTTTAACAGTCAATGAGTCAAACAGTCAAAGGTGGGCAGAAGGGGAGCCAGCTGGTATGAAGGAGCAGCAACCATGTGCGGACCAAATGCCATTTTTGTTTTTTAGACGTGTCTTGAAGGGATGGTCCCGGAATATACAAAATATACAATCTGTCCTAATAACCACCCCGCTTGCTTGCATAGGCCATTGAATGGTCCTAAAGGCAGTCTTTGGAGTTGAGGCCAGTGCCAGCTAGCTAAGAATGCGGGTAGATAAGAGACCGATAGTGGATGTGTGTGGGATGAAAAGTGAGGAATGTGAACCCCCTTGGAGTCAGCTTGCAGAGTAAATGTGAGGCCTCTTGATCCCGGGTGCTCTAGGTCACAAGTCATGGTGGGTCTAGCCAAAAAGATTTAGAAACGCGTCTCTCCTTTTAGACAGACCGTGAGAGAAACTTCTCAACCCTTTCCTTAAATGTCCACCCTTCATTCCCACAATGGCATTTTGAATTGTGTGTTTTAACAAGTGGGGGAGTATGAGCTCAGTGGATATGAGAGAGGAAGATAGGATGATGTTTTCTGAAGCCACTAGACTCGGGAGGCATCCTCAGTTCTCCCCACTCCTGGAAAGAGTGATATTTTTGGCTTTTTGTCAGGTCATAACCCAGAGTTAGGTTAAGTATGCAGCTGCCCTTTGAGACTAGCGACATCTACGCTGAAACTGGTTATAGGGTAGCAATGACACACAGCACGGGGTTGATCACTATGCGCTGAGGTCATGATGCCTCAAGGGGGATGAGAGAACTGTGATGTCCCATCTGATTGGCTGCTTCGAGAGCTGGACATCCAGGTGCCGAGAGAGTCCTGGAGAGGTTTATTTAGTCCATGGAGAAAAGATAAAACATTTAAGCTTCCAAATAAGCTTTTCAAGTTTTCATTAGCAAAAACAGAGAGATTAAAAAGAAAAAATCTAGCACTGGCAATAAGGTGAGGCTCAAGGGATATACTGTGATTTATCATCAAGGACTTTATTCTCTTGGCCACTTTGCAGTCATGCTAGAAGTTTCCAGAATCCCTAGTGCATATGGTGTGCAAGAGTCAAAAAGTAAGAAAAGAAAACTCCTCCCTTGAGAGTGAAGTCTAGAGAAATGCAGGCCAGAAAGGTGTAAGGTGTTATTCCAGAGTCTGCCGCCGCTAAGGCCGTTGGTATCGACTCGAAAGATCTCAATAGTACTAAGAAGAACCAAAACCGATCAACAGTTCTGTGAGGAAGTCGGACGCACGGAATAGTAGGACTTTTCACACACAAAGGACAAATAAACCAAGAGTTAATTTTGGCTACCAAACTGCAATTTGGTTTTCTAGGTCATTTTCCCCCAACTATTTAAAAAGAAACATTAGTGCTACACATATGCAACTTTACGACGTTGTATTCTCCTATCAAGTTGCACTGAGAAGCAAGTTAAATAAGCCCCTCTTACTGCCGTCCACCTGCAGAGACGTCACATCCATTTTCTTTGATTTCCATTGGCAACAGCGGGAAATAATTCCAATAGTGCTGAAGTAAGCAGCCAGTCTGCCTTGCTGAGTTCACCTGGTTTCCTTCTTCTTCGTCTTCTACCATCTGGCTAGGGCAAGGCATAAAGAATAGACGTATATATTTTAAATATAGCTGAGTGCATGACAGTGCGTGTGTGTGGGTCTATGTGAGTGCGTGTGTGTGTCTGTGTGTGTGTCTGTGTGTGCGTGTGTGTGTGTACACAGAGGTTTATGAGTGAGAACTTTCTTCTGCGAGGTAATGGAACCCCGCCTGAAGTCCAGCCCCCTGCCTCACGGCATTTCCTTCAGACAACGGCCGACGCCATGACAACTCTGGCCTTTAGGGGTTTTAGATATGTCTCTTCATATGGAGGGCAAGATGGTCAGACCTGGAAAAACACCTAGGAAATATAAACAACAACAAGGATATAAGAGGGGTCCAGGCAACAAACTCAACTTCCAGCACCCCTTAGAAAATGATTAACCCTACCTCAAAAAGTGGCAGTACATATGTACTGAGAAACAAGGCACTGTGTGGGGAAGGTAAGCTCAGGGTCAGACTGCGTGGGTTCTAACCCCAGCTCTTCCAATCCTTGTGTGACTCTGAGCATGTTAAACTCTCTGTGCCTTCATTTCTCCTCGGTAAAATGGGGGTAATCACAGCACTCACCTCCTAGACTGGTTTTGAGGATTAATGAGATGATCTACATAAAGTGCTTAGAATATTGCCTGGCACATAGGAAGGAAGATGTCTGTGAACATTAACTATTATCATAGTTGTCATTATTAAAGAAGAAACTAATAGGAAGGTGCTTCGGAAACACAGGACATGCCCGTATAACAGAAGTACGGCAGAAAATGATTAGCTCGTATCATCCAAAGGTGGAACTCTAACATTTCAACACCCAGAGTTGAGTCAATGAAGACCCAGAAATGCTGCCTGTGATACCTACAAGGTCTCTATTATACCAAGTCAAGAAAAAGAATGGAGAAGTGAGCTCAGGCTTATTGAGAATGAGATAACATGCAGGCATGTGCTAGGCATTTCCCCAACATGATCCAGTACCATTCTGGGCAACCTTCCATGCTGAGTGTTCACACCTCTATGTGTGTGTGTGTGTGTGTGTGTGTGTGTGGTAAGGAAACTGAGGCGAGGGTCATGTAGCTAGTTAGTGGCAGATTTGGGATTAAAACTCAGGCAGATCTGCAAGCCCCCTCTTTCGAATGCCCACCCTTTAGAAAGTCCAGTTTTCTTGGTGCCTGAGGGCCACCACTGAGTGCCTTCCTCAGCCTCAGAGCATAGGCAGTGGTCATCTTTACTCCTCCCCCTTTCCTTTGGCACCAGCAACTTGATCTTCTCTTGGGTAGCTGTGCTTCTGCGCTCCCAGTTGTATGGGGCTGACTGACCCTCCTCCTAAGGCTAAAGCTATGGCCATGGTGATCTACTAAGCGACAGTCGCATGACCCATCAAGGTTCATGAGAGCCAGTCCTGAACACTTGCTGAAACTACTCAAAGAGAGAAGCTCTTTTTCCACTGGGGCTACTGTGCTATTAAGACTGAAGCTGGAGCTGCTGGTATCCATATGGCCATGTGGGAAAGAGCCTCCTTGAGAACAAAGTCAACAGAGAAAAATGGGCAGGAGGATAGAAAGAGAGAGAAAGAGGCCTGATGACAACATCTGAGACCCTGGATCCAGCCAAACCTAAAGACCAATCTAATTTTGGTCTCCTTAGTCAGTTGAGCTAATAAACACCCTTCGAAGCTAATATCAGCCTGAGTCGGGTTTCTGTATCATATAACTAATAGAGTGGGCATCTCCATATCTCCGCAGCCTACAATCTAAGGCTCTGGCTAGAATCCCAGTAAAGTCAGCACACGAGACAGCATAGCTCTGAGTGTGTGCTCTCCCTCGGGATTCTTCTCTTGAAACTGGCCATCTCTTACCTGTGAGGATATTCCCAGGCTCTCCCGAGGCCCAAGCCATGCTCACAGTCTAAGATTCTTGTTAGGATGTTAGCAAGCTGCCCTGTTTCAGGTTAGCAAGACTTCCTGTTCCATGCAGGATTTCCCTGTGTTTGTTCATTCTTAAAACAAACAAACAAAAAACCCACCCTATCTCCTGACCCCAACATTCTCCACCCACTCTGTTTGTGTTGATTTTTTAAATAGGCACATATGCAGGATAGGACCGCATGGAAATGAAGCAAAATAGAACCAAGGCAAATGAGAAACACTTAAGAATGGGAAGGTACAGTAGAAAATAATATAATCCAATAACATATTGAATAACAATAATTCTTTTTTAAAAATTTTTTTAAAGATTTATTGATTTGACAGAGAGAGGGAGAGAGCACAAGCAGGGGGAGCAGGAGAAGGAGAGGGAGAAGCAGGCTCCCCGCTGAGCAAGAAGCCCGACGTGGGGCTCAATCCCAGGAGCCTGGGATCAGGACCTGAGCCGAAGGCAGACGCTTAACCGACTGAGCCACCCAGGCGTCCTGAATAATAATAATTCTAATTACACCCACTTATTTTAGGCCCTAATTTAATATGAGCAAGATATTTGGATAATCCCTCAGAGTGCCATCTAAAGAGGATTTAATTTACCACAAAACAGTGGTGATGTCACTGGTATACAGAATAGCAATACAGCCTATAGGGAATTCAGCAGTTAACTCCCATGACCTTGTCCTGTCCTGAGGGCACACTCAGTATTGTCCACTGCCTCTTCTCTTTCTTCCCTCCCTCCCTCCCTGCCTCCTTTCTGCCTTCCCTCCTTCCTTCCTTCATCCCAACAGGCTAGAGAAAGAAGATCTAAGTTGGGAAGTTCTTTTTGGAGGTATTTCCTTTTTAAAGTTAACATCCTTAACAAGAACTCTATAAAGAAGATGCCATTCTTATCCCTGCTACCAGCTGATATAGTCATTAAAAAGAGGCAAAGCCAAAATTTGAACCCAAGTAGTGTGACCCTGGAGCCCATGTTCTAGGCACACCTGCTCTTTAGACTGAGAAGAAGGGAGAGCTGAACTGTCAATTTCAGGAGTTTGTAGCACGTAGAATAAGGGGTTCCCCCCCAACCAAATGTCTGCACCTAATTCCTGGAAACTGTAAATATGTTAGGTTATGTGGCAAAGGAGAATTAGGGCTGTGGATGAAATTAACCTGCTAATCAGGAGATTATTCTGGATTATCTGGGTAGGGCCAATGTTATTTAGAATATCTTCAAAAGTGGAAGAGGGAATTAAAAGAGAACACAGACAGCAGCATAGGAAGGACTCAACAGCTTGGATGACGGAGGGATGGGGCAAGCAGGCAAGAAACGTGGGCCACCTCTGGAAGCGAGAAAAGACAAAGAAATGGGTTTCTCCCTAGAGCTTCTAGGAAAAAAAACACAGCCCTGCCGATTCCTTAATTGTAGCCCAGTGGATCTTCTAACCTACAGAAGGTTACCTATAAGAAGTCACCTATAAGATAAAACATTTGTAACGTTAAATAAAGATGATACTAAATTTGTAGCAATTGGTAATGGCAGCAACTAGAAAATGAATCCAGAAGTCAGTCTGGTCAGGCCTGAGTAGTGAGCACCTGTGAGAAAGCAACGAAGCAGGCACCAGGAAGCCTGCCTGTCTGAGGGAGGAACAGAGGGATTGGAGACAGGAGCGGGGGAGGACAGGTCTTGGCCTGGGGACAACACCTCTTTCCTTTCCTTTCTATATCCTGGAAACCTAAGGGAAAATAGCATTCTTGATACAGAATTTCATCTGCAGACACCATTCAGTGATGTATGAGTTCCAAATTTTTATTCTGCCTTTCCCAACTGCCTACTGTGTGCTGGGTATCTTGCAATATATGTACAAGCATCTGTATTTATTCTTCGAGATCTTGCAGGGAAAAAGAAAAGTAAAAAAAAAAAAAAAGCCCAAACCAAGTCTTTAACATGGTATGAAATCTAACTGCACTCCTGAACTGAACCAGCATTGTTATTTCTTCAAATTCTCGGAAGTATATGCTGCTTAGAATTTAGACTAGGTCCCTCACCATTGGGGTTTTATTTAAATTCAATATACCAGCAAGATACTTAGTCATGATTAATTTATATTTATTAATTTACACTTACTGAGCTCCACATAGGAATAGTAAAAGGTAATAGATAAACTCACCATCTAGAAATGTGGAATCAAATAATTCTAAGGGTAATATACCCCCAGAGAGTATTTATGACTATACAGCAGTCAGACGACCTTAAAGAAGAATGTCCTTAATGATTGAAATTTGTTCATTACAGAGAACTAGTCAAACCACTGTTGTCATTTCCCTTGGCTTCTGAAAAAGGCACAGTTAAGTCATGTGGGCACTAAGCCAACAGCAATGCTCCAGGGCACCAAAGGGGCTAGATATGGGTTGGTATTTCTTACCACCTATAAGTGGCTTGACTCAAAGATCCAAACGTGTCCTCTCAACTGCTCAAGATCTTGAAGGTACTACCCTGACAGCAGTCTCCCTGAATGACAACTGCGTTGAGTTGGCAAAACAATGGCCCATGTATCACCGCCCTGTTTACCACCACCAGCAGCCCTGTGCTGTATGGGCTGAGAAACAAGCCTCACCCTTCTAGCCGCTGTGGTCCGGCCATGGGCTATACAGTTCAGTCTGACAGCGAGGAAGTGGCAGAGCCTCACTGCTTTCTCCCCCAACCCAAACCTGAAGCCTGAGGTCACAAAACCCAATGTCTTCAGGGGCCTGGCAGATAAAGTAAATGAGTGCAATAGGTCAAGGACTATCAGATTCTACTTTTGATAAGGCTTGGATATGAAGAAACACCGCTCTTCTGTAAGAGGACAAGGGCGATGGTACATGGCAATGGAAGGTCTGGCTTCGTGTTGGGGAGACTGCAGGGAGCGGTGGGAACAGTAAGAAATTAGTGATCACTTGGCCATCACAAATGGGGAGTGATTACTATTTAGCTTCAGAAAATTATGGCCACATGGGAATGTGAGCCCAGTGTTACCAGATCTTCTGATTTTTCCAAACAAAGCCAGAGATGCAGACATTTTTGTGGCATCTAGTAATTTTAAATGTAAGTAAAGCAAATAAACAAAGAAAAACTCATTTATTTTTTTTTCAATCTACCCAATAGGCAAAATAAAAGTATAAATTAGACCTGGTACATGCTTTAAAGACAGGAAGCCCCAAACCGCTTAGCCTCTAGCGTGGTCTGATTTCTCAAATTCTAAGAAGGAAGAGGGAGGTTTCTTACGCTTATACACACTGTGTTACCTACAGGATTCAGAGTCCTGCTAAGGGCTACAGATGCCCTCTTTTCAGATGGTAAAAGTCCTCTAAGGAATGCCAGCTCCCAGTCATGCCAGGCTTTCCTTTCCTCTGCTTTGGGACCACTCCAGTTCCCCACGCCGCCTCCCGGACCTGCTCTATTCTTAGCACAGTCGCTGCAATTGAAATGTAAGGTGCTGCCAGTCGTGAGACACTAATGAGAATCCAACCCCTTATTTCTGACATTGTTGAAAATGCCCTGACTCTTGGCCAATGTCACAGGACGTTGACCCAGATCTCCCCCAAATCACAATCTCCCCCAAATACCTTCTCAAAGAATTTGTACCATCTGCTCAGCAAATTTCTAGCTCCGGGAACTGTAGATTTTGGTGAAGAAAAATAAAGCAAAAGGCTAACCAAATTACCCGTCTCTGACACCTCCTTCCCTGAAATACCCAGTTGGCTTGAAATATTTCTCCACATAAATCATACAAATGGTCAGATTTAATCCTAGTAAACTGCTGGACAGTTGTAAATAAGTCAGTTGATCTGCAGAGAGGAATACTAGCTCTGGCAATTTCCCAATAAGAATTCTTTGTCCATTTCTAAAGGATGAATGTAATCTATAACGCACAATCTCCACGTAGTAGCCTTATCACCCTTCAGGGATGGGCGACTTCTGTGTATGCCTACTACCACCGTACTATCACAACTCACAGGGGATTCCTCTTCATCCCAGTTGATATAATGCTCTTCCTCAAAGGACTGTGGGCAAAGAGTCACCCTCTATGCAGCTTCTTTATTAGTGGCCAGGGCTAAAGAGAAATGAACTTGAGATGGCGGTTGAGGAAAGATGTCAAATAAGGAGAAACATTACCCAAATATACTCCTGTAGCAAAACAGCCACTGATTCACATCAATTCAGGGGGCCTTGTACGTAATGGGATAGAAATAAAAAAGCAGGTTGTGTTCTTGGGTAGCAGAGGAGAGAGCTCCAAGGGAATGAGAGACAATAGCTTCACAGTGTGGACTTCCTCAGCTCTGGGGTGGGAGGTTATCTCTGGACTCCAGGAGGCATGGGGGCTTTATTTAGTTCTTAAAGAATGAAGATAAGAGGAAAATAGCCTCTTCAGGAAGAAGGGGAAAAAAGGAGGAAAAACATGAATGCTCCTTTATAAGCATTTTAAGGGAGCACCAAGCCAACTGGCCACCCATGAGATTGGGCCACTACTGCTCTGTTCTCCACACACACACACACTACAACAGAGGAAGGTAGTGTGGGGAGGGACCAGCCCAGGGACTGGGAGGCAGGATGGGAAAGCGATCTCATTTCCTCCCACGGAGAGCCAGGCCTCTACGGACATCCTGCGAGCTGGGGAACCCTGAGGCTTTCAGGGCTTTTATCGTATTAGAAGCATTTTTCTCATCATAACTGAGACCTTTAGTATTGCATTAAAAAGATGGTTAATTTTCTTAAGCTTCCTTTTAAACACAGAAATAGGATTAGAAGGATAACATGCTCAGATGCAAGCCCATTATTTGATTATGTCTAAACCTAATCCTGCCTTCACCTTGGCCTGCAGAGTCTCCATTTTGGGGTTTATTGGTTGATAATGCCAGGGCTGTCAGATACTATTACTTGTGTAGTATCTGTTGCTACGTGCTCTTTCTTCCACTATCAAATGCTGAAGGTTGGAAATTGAATTATAGGATAAGTTCTCAAAGCCTCGCCATCTTTTAGACCTTTGTACCTATTTTCAAAGGAGAAGGAGTGATTCAGGCCCCCAAAGAATGGGGACTCTCACCAGTAAATTCATAAATTCATTTCTAATGACGCTTCGGAAGAAAGCCTTATGAGTAACCTTCTTTCCATTGAGCAGGCTTTCTACTCTTTCATGTTATTAAGAATCAGGAAAAATGGTATTGATGTTAATAAAAAGATCAGAAGAAACAGCTACAGGTGATCATTCTCTATCCTATTACTTTTCATATTATAGTAAAATCATCTGTCACATCATCTCCTTGAGGGGAGGAACTGTGTCTTATTGCCACTCAGTGGCTCACATGGCTCCTGGCCCCAAAGCTGGTGTTCAGTAAATACTTGTGTGACTGAACCAAGAATTTATGTCATCTCTGGATTATATGCAAGAAGGCACCCTTATCTCCTTGGGTTTTCTCAGTGGAGAAGGAAAAGGTATTCGCAGGCCTAAGTGTCCGAGGCAGAGGCTTGGGATAACCCCAGAAGCACAAGGACAGCCCACCCCCCCACCCGGACCCACCTCGCCTTCTCCCCTCCCCATCCCAGCAGCTTCTGTGTTTCTTTACCTGTCGCAGTGGTTGCATTTAAAGGGCTTTGCACCTGTGTGTTTCCTGTAGTGCCTCGTGAGCTCATCACTTCGTGCAAAACGCCATTCACACCCTTCCCATGAGCACTTATAAGGCTTCTCACCTGCAAGAAGAGATGAACGACCATGGTCAACAACAGGAACAAAATGGCCACACGCCTGATCAGGTTCTGCTACCTGTCCCTCGTCTTGGAAAAGGGCTGTATAAATTATTCTTGAAAGACTGCATTTCCTAATACAGTTGGTCACATTTTCTTTAGGCTCCTGGTATTTTGTTGTTGTTGTTGTTGTTGTTGTTGTTTTAACCTTCAAAAGTGGTTTCACAGGATCCTCTAATCTGGAGCTGTCATTTCGGTTCCCAGAGTCAGAGCATTTCCTTCAACTGGTGAAGGATCAATTTTTATTTATTTTCTATTCCCTGGAGCACTTTGACCCCTCACTGTCCAAGCAGAAAGGAAATGTGCTATTTTCATCTGAACCACAAATGCTTCTAATTCTATTTTTCTCCAGAACCTACAGTAATTTACCATTTCAACCTTTTTAGCCTTCTCCCTCCTACCACAAACTGGAGCCAGGGTGCTGACTGACAAGGCAAATAGCTCAGGTCTCCCAGAACCACTGTTCCTTCCAGTAAATGGGAATGGATGGACAGTCAGGAGAAAGGGCTATGACTTGAGAGTAAAACAAAAATCACCTGACGATTCCTGGCGGTTTATGTAAAATGCAGTCACAAAGTCCTATTTAAGAAGCCCCTAACTTAATGGCTCCAGAGCATTCATATTAGAGAGAGATGAAGAGTATTACAAAATATTTTTAAAGCCAATTTGTAGAGCAAGGTTTTAGCCACAGTGAAGCTGCTTATAAGTACAAAATTAGAGCTCTTGCGCTCAAGTGACCTTTTTGCATGGTAAATACAGACGGAGCGGTATGTAAGAGAAAGTACATGATTTTTCTGTAGACCTTTTTCTTTAACCCATCAACAGCTGTCACCCAACATGGCAAATATTTACCCTTCCCACTGTATGGTGCCTGGTTCCGATTAAGAAGAAAAATAATTTTCAAAACCCCATGAAGTAATGAGAGTTACTGAGCCCTGGTAACTTGAGAGGCAGGTTAGCACAGTGGTCATGAGCCCCGAAGACAACCTTCCCGGGCCCAGCTTTCGGTGCTGCCCCTAACTGTCTAAGCCCGGGCAAGTTAACAAACCTATCTGCGCCTCTGTTTTTCTAGAGATAATAATAGTACATAGCTCAAAGTGTTCAGAGAGCATAACTTAATATACACAGGTATTATATATTCATTAGAACACTGTCTGGTTCACTTAAGATTCACATCACTGGTAAATGTTATAAATTGCCAAACCCCAAATTTCAGGATACACAGGTGCCAAGGTAGTACTATGGTTGCCCCATTATTGCTCTATTTTTAATAGCCAGACCTTCACGAGGCAGCGCTTAAGGAGACATTGCCCAGGTACTATACTTGACCCACTTTCTTCTTCCCACCTTTTTCCTTCCCTTTAAACCTGACTACAAAGTGCTCACCATTCTTTATTTGTATCACCTAGAATTGAACCAAACATGATTGAAAATTTCATTTCATTAAATCGATGCCCTAGTGAGCTACTGCTCTGTAAGGCCCCTAGAGAAGAGGAAATGAGAAACACAGGCATTTCTTTTGAAGGGAACCAAGAGGACATGAAGGAGGGCTAGAAGCACAGGAGGAAACCCATTCAGTTTTGGAGACCAGGGGAAAAAAAAAAAAAAAAATCACTGAGCAGTGTTAAAAGTTCACCTTCTGGATCCTTAAAGCCAAAATTTTAGAAAATTGCAGCTGCTGAAAAGAAAATAGGAGAAGGGGGGTGTCAAATCAACTTTGGAGTGAACACACTTGGGATCGGCATTCATTACAGAGTTCATTACAGAATATGCCTCAGTGTCCTTCTCTGTCAAATGGGGCTGAGCTTCCCGTGTTTGTTGTGAGGTTTAAATATGTTGTCATATACAGGGCACACATCCTGAGCCAGACACAAGGTAAATATTCTATCAATTTCAACTTCTCTTCCTCCCATATACACCTGTGTTCTCAGAAGCTGTCTAAAGGTTGTCACCCAAAACTTTCGAAACTCAGGCTGAGTCTGGAATCACTCTGGGCAATCTAAATATTGGAAAAATAGTGTTTTTAAGTTTTAAATATTTTCTCAGTGTACTGATGAGAATGCTCCAGAAAAACTGAGTGCTCTTGCGATCTACTATGAAGGAATGGGATGCTGAGGGGAAAGAAGAGATCCCAGTTGGAGAGAGGTGGGCCCTCCCTGAGAGGCGTGTTGGCATCCTTTACTTAATGTGATTGATTGCCCACCAGCCTCCATTATTCAAGGAAATCTGACACAAACAAACAAACAAATAAAAAAGGAGAATGAGGCACGTCAGCGACTTTAGAAATTCACAATGCCCTCCACCCACCCAAGGCCTTCAAAGGCAAGTAACACTGCAGGTTCCTGGAGCCTGGGGGACCCAACACACCCCAAATGCAACAAGGCATCTGGAAATCCCACGACATTCTATGGCCACAAGCAGAGACATCTAGTCCCCAAAATCAATCCCATGATTGAACTAACCCGTCCATCATAGGCAACCACATTTTGAAGGACAGAGGAAGGACAGAGAGAAAATGGAGGTTCAAGTGGATATCTTCAGATATTTTTGAAAAATTGTTCTTTCAAACTGTTTGGTTTTTCCCCTTGGTGAATTTTTTAAATAGTTTTGTTTTGACGATTAATATTAAGGATTTAGATACTTCCCAGAAAATAATATAGACTCAATTAGTTCTGGCACAAGCCAATTATCCTATCCAGTGGCTATTTCAGTATCCCTTTTGCCAGTGTATAGACAGAAACTACAGATAGTTTGACTTGGCTTTGAGTTGTATCACCTAACACTGTCTCCTGCTAGCAGAAGAAGCTCTTTTGTGTCCTTATGGTTTAGTCAAGATATATTATGGTGCCTCATCAATCTATTTTTCCAGTGTCTGATTCATTTACCTTTAAGTTGCCATTTCGGCAAATGCTCACTAATATGAACTTTAAAATAACCAAGAAAGAACTCGACCAGGTGAAGGAGCAGTGCCTGATACAGGCAGACTACAGAAATCAGAGGAGCAAAAAATATATATAAAGAATTGGGAATATGACTTCATATTTAGGGCTCAGAAATGATGGGATTAGGCTGGCCTTATTTCTAGGTCCCATATCCACTTCTGTAAACCAGTGCCTACTTGAAAGGCATCAGTGAAAATCCTCTGTCAGTACTTTGCATGGCCAAGATCACACCTCCCTAGACACCAGCACCCACTGCTTGATGTCAGGGGCAGAGCCACCTATATCCACGATGCATTAGTTTCCATCTGAACAGCTTACATAAAGATTTCTGTGTATTTCATAAAAATCTTGGGTTTCTTTCTTTATGGAAGAATGGCTTTCTTTCTAAAAGAAAGGAAGAAAGGAAGAGAAAGGGGACAGAGGGAGGGAGAGAAGGAAGAAGAAAGCAAGGAGGGAGGAAAAAAGAGAAAGGGGCAGTCAGTTGTAACTGGAGCGGACTTCACGCAAAATCAGCTTATCTCCTTCATCCTGCCCTCTCTTTCACCCTCCTTAACTCCTTGCTCCACTCCAGGCACTATTCCTGGGTAGAACACAGAAAATGGCACACCCTTGCACAACGCTATACTGTATGGCGCCTGGGACAATGCCTGTCTTTCAGCTCACAGCAACTCAATAATGATCAAAAATGTTCAGGAGAGGTCTGTAGGAGACGGGCAGATGGGAGAGAAACTTAAAACATTAGGACTCAAGGCTGGAAGGCGTGTGTGGATGAAGGCAGGCACAGCACAAATCGGATGGGCGAGGGGGCATAGTAGTGCCTGCACAGTTCATGGGGCCAGAAGCGGAGACACTGTCAGAAGCCCCCTGAATTGCAAGTGGAACATCAAGATCTACTTTTCCTAACTAGAAATTAACCCCAGGAGACGTATTTCCCTCAGAGGTGATATAGTAGGTCTAATCAGGTGTAAATACATTTATAGCCATACGAGGGCTCTTAAGGAGAGCTAAGGATGCTTAAGAAACAGGACTTGACATTTAGCAAGGTTGAATCATGGCAAGAATTCATGCTCTCCCACAGAATGGCCTCTGAAATGGAATGTGGGCTAAACCAGTATGGCATTTTTTTTAGTTTCTTACAGAGTAACTCTCTCTACAACATGATCATCAAATTTGATTGGTCAAAATGCACATAAATACCTTTGAACATGTACCTCCAATACAAGTAGATTTATTCATGAATTGTATAAATGTACTGATGTCTTAGTATGTTAGGATATTATAAAATATGCTTTCAATACAGAAATTAAAAAGAATGGGACTAAATTAAATACAAATAGAAGGTTTACATTTTTCTTCCTGCACTCAAAAAGACTGCATTGTACGCCCTACTTTAGAGACCGCCGCTCCATAGGATAAATGGAAACAGCTTGGCTCCAAGCCTGCTGGTCTCAGTGCTTCCAGACTTGGACCCCACAATCCATTCTCCCTACAGCAGTCCGAGGAATCCTCTGAAAATATAATCAGTACGGGGCGGGGGGGGTCCTTCTAGGGGATTTTAGTGTCTATATTTCCATATAATTGGTTTCTCTGACATCCCCCTGGATTATATTTTGTGCATTTGAAAACATTCTATGAAGCGTTCTACAGACCTCACCAGACTGCCAAAGAAGTTCATGACCCAAACGAGGTTAAGAAGAAATTACAGTGTGAATGTTGCAGTGGCTTCCTGTCATTCTCAGAATTCAAGTCAAAAGCCTGGGCAGCCCTGTGGTATAGAGTCTATGTGATCTGGCCCCTTTCTACTCCCATCTCCTACCCCCGTCTCAGGGCCTTTGCACTTACTAACCCCTCTGCCTGGCATACTTGCTCCCTCACCTCAGTCAGGTCCCTGCTCGAGAGCTTCTCCTCCTCAGGGAGCCCTACCCTCAACCATCCTCCATAAAACAGCAGATTCTGTCACCTGCTCCATATCACTCAATCACTTTGAAATTAGACTGCATATTG